ACCTCTTTCCACTACGGCGAAAGAATTTTTTCCATATCGGTACCAAAGGTAAAATATGGAACAAAATTCTTTCACCGTAGTGGAAAGAGGTTTTCGGCTCACCCTTTTTTTCATCGGACCACAAATGATCATGGCTACAATATGTGATAAGTTTCAACCTGAAATTCAAAACTCCGATTTCACTAGAAATCCAGATCCCATTGGAAAAATTCGAATAATAATTCAATATCTCAGCAACAAAGCTGATTGCGTCCGACCGAAGTTGGAGTTCTTCATAGCCCATAAGGACCTACATTTTACACATAGTCCCATTCAAAAAGATTTTTAGCACCTCAAGAGGTTCCCTCGTGAGAAGACTCTTTTCTTCTGTTCTCATATGACATCAAACACTTTTTCATGTGCCATGTAATGTCATCGATATAGGACACATTTAGTCAATATCTTTTTAAATTTTATGATTTGAATAAGTGTAAAGAGGTATTCTCATTTGGCGGTATTTCCAGAATTTGAAGGTCTATCCGAATTCTGATGTTTTATATCTCGTAAACACGTTTTGTCAGAAATATACGTTTTTCTACAAAAATTTAATTATGACTGAAGCTTGTTTTTTTAATTTAACTGAAAAATATTAACACCTAATTTTATTCTAATTTGTCAAAAAAGCAATAGTTAATCATAAATCTGGAATAAAACTAGTTAAAGAGAGTAAAAAGTTTGATCTTCTTTTCTACCAAATATTACCCTAAAAGTATCCGGTACTTTTAGTAATTTTAGTAGTTTTCTGCTGCTTTTTAGGCAAAATACTTTGGGAGGACCATCAGAAATTCCAACGAGCAGAGGTCGTCCGAGCGAGTGGAACACGGTCAGGTGGGCTCGGCTCAATAAGTTAGAATAATGTTTTTTCACCAGCCAAATTAAAAAAAAGAGCTCGCGCAGTAACTAGTTTCCTGTTGCCCCTCCGTGTTTCGAGCGAGCTCTGCCAACGAGAACCTTTTGTCCAAGAATATTAGTTTTCATGCTGCGTTATATGAAGTTAGAGGAAACTTTAACTCACGCTAAATTTTTTTCGAAGAAACATATACTGTTCATTTGATATTTGTTGGCGTTTTGTTGTTATTGTTGGTTCGTTTCGTCCACCCTTTAATGCATCCTTCAAACATCTTTGTGCGATTGCACTTAAATCTTCCATCATTTTTAATTCTAATTTTCGTTGTTGTTTCTTTTTATAATCATCTACTGTTTTTTTTGTTTGCGTTTTAGTTGCTAATGTTGA